ATATATATATATATATATATCAATGAGAATTGCACGAACTTCATTCACAAAATCGTTTTATGGAAGATATATTTATAATCATGATTATATCATCTGCTATATTATTTTATAGGCATATAATTTTGTACTTGGGTACCGAAGTAGTTACTGTCCATTGGCTTTATTTTTTATGTATTATTAAGAACTGTGCATTGAATGAAGATAATTTTTTGTATGAGTCTAAGTCAACCTAATAAAAACTTAGAGAAATATCCTGTAATTATTGAAAAACTTTTTCAACTAAAAAAGTGAGAACAAACGGAAGTTTATACTTAGGAAAAAATGTTAATCTAAAATTCTGAAATATGTGTTGAGCTGATCTGAGAGGAATTAAATCTTATGTCTTGCGTAATATCATACTACTTTTTAAAGAGTGAGAAATTCCACTTAACCCCACTTTTTTCAAATACTGCCTCCAAAGTCTCCTCACAGCCCCGATGGACCCTCATAGTTTTTACAAGTTAAGGAAAAATTTGTCTTATTTTTTAATTATTGCACTTGATAACTATTGGCTCAAGCCCCCCATTACCTCAGCTTACCATTCTATTACTACCCCACAGGATCTTTCTTGCCCGTTCATCGACCCCCATGGCTCTTCACGCGATTCTTCATTTCCTACACTGCACTTTTACTGTTTGTTGATAGTATTTTTAACAAGTTGACTGTATAATACTACTACCTCTTATCCTACTTCATCTTTCAGAAAAAAGTTAAACAAAGTTTTTTGATGAATCTGTAATAATAAAAGTAAACTTTTTATTGTATCAAAGAAAGTTATTTTTAGACTTGCAAGTTATTATACGGATGTCTTAACACCACAGAGAGCGTAAATGGATCAATCTTACCCATACTAATAATCTATTTAAAAGTACAAGTCAAGAAACTACTAGTTTTTATTAATACTAAGTTAGTCTTAGAAAAAAATGTTGAACATTTTTATTAGGACGTAAAAAGGTTCTTGGAAGACAATTCATTTTTAATACTATCATATAACTACATAGAAGAACCCCAAAAGTAAGTGTGTTTATTGCATCAGGACAAAGAGCAGGATAAAATGCTATCAGTACAAATGGGATACCTGCTAAGCAACTCATAACGACCTATTTGCTTTACCTGAGCACACGCTTTTAATTGATTATTGATTTTTTTTTTTAATTTTCCAATAAAACGTTAAATCTCTAGCCTTACTTAAGCTTTGATAGGCTCCAATTATTAAAAAGCTATCAACAACACGATAAGTGTAATCATTTTTGACTCATCAAAAAATACATACCTTTATTTCTTTTATCAAATTATTAATTTTTTAAGAATTGTATGTAATTACTATGCACTTATGTGTTACGGCTCGATTGAAACTGAGTGAAACTTGAGGGTTCTTGGGTAACCTCGACATACCCACACCTTACGCTTAACGTTTCATGCACTGGCACACAAGTGCTTACCCACTTTAGGCCACCAACCCGATTGAAGCTACCTTCCCCTTAAGGTTTTTTATGCTATTTTTCTAACCCTAATTATGCTTGTCTTTATATGACCTATATAGTCATAAAAAAAGTTATTTGAATATCTGTAAAACAAAAATTTCTTTATCTTAATGAAAATAGTGGGACAGAAATAGTGCTTCACCAAAACTTCCTTTAAAAACAATTTATTGTTAACACACATTATTTTATCTTGCTATCCGAATGAATATTCCAATTCTATTTTTGCATCTTGATTATGCGATCTTAAATTGGCTATAAGAAGGCAAAAGTCTCCTAACATGTAGAACAACATTCTTAAACTTTTTCCCTTAAGATTTACGAATAATTATAATAGACTTTTTAACAAAAGGACATTAAGTTTTGTACCACAATAACAAAAGCTGCTTAAGATTAAACCTAAGTTGACAGTGTAACTTAAAGAAAGTTTGAATTACGTTTTATAAGACGCTAGAAAAGTTATCAGTAGTTCAAACACAAGACCGTGCGCAACGCCCCATTTAAGTACGACCAGAAATAACTGAACAAAGCAGCCGCATGTTGCGCAATTCAGTTATTTTATGCAAAAATGGTCCACGCTCCTCGATGATACTTCACACCTGAAAAATGGTGCGTCCAATATATTAGCAATAAAGAGGAGCAATAACATCAATGAATGGAGCCAGAACCGTCACATACCCTCCGGTGATGTTTTCCTGGATATGCCAATTTTTACTGATCAAATTATTCCTGATTTTATTCGCCAACATAATTATCAACGCAATAGTGTCGAATCTAATTAATTAATCAAACAAAGATACTTCACGAACGTAATAATTTCTACCCATGTGACGAAAGACAGAAAGAGATGAGTAACACCAAAAACTTCTTTTCCTCGTTCTGACGAGATAAGAGCTGGACACTGGAGAAGTGGCCTGCATGTGTGCCTTACAATTGGCAGCAAAACTCTAAGCCCATTTTGACTTGACCATAAGTTATAAGGGAGCTACAAATTTTTCCTGCCGAACCCTTGTCATATGAGCTTGCTGTATATACACAATTTGTCTTGTATGAATTAAACGGCTAAATTGCATAATTGTTTATAATAGGATTCGTCTGTATCAACTCAGCACGTAACACCCCCCTTCTTAGATTCGGCAACTACAGATGGATCAAGAATTAACAGAAGTTGATGAGACAAATTATTACAATATCGTTTTAGATGTAAATTCTCTTTTTTTTTTTTTTTTGTTGAAAAAACTATGAATTTATCAATTCACATTTCTGCTTCCATCGTAAAGCAGTGTGGTTATTAAGTTACTTAATAGAAATGAGTGCATTAGGTGCTTATTATGTTGCATTATTTTTATACAAACTTTTTTTAAAACTTTGTTAGTTAAATGATTGATGTATTAAATTAATGGTGTAGTTAGAATTTTTTTCAGTGACGTGCAACAAATATTGGGGTGATAAGGTTTTCTCGTAATGTAGGATTGTGGTTCATGCACTACCAGAGACAAGGTAAAAGAAGAGGAGACGAGCGATGCGA